AACTCTACATACAAAAAAATTAAATTAAGTAAGGACTATGGGGCCAGGTGTGGTGGCTCATGTCTGTAATCCCAGCACTTTGGGAGGCCAAGGTGGGCAGATCACCCAAGGCCAGGAGTTCAAGACCAGCCTGGCCAACATGATGAAACCGCGTCTCTACTAAAAATACAAAAATTAGCCAGGAACTGTGGCATGCACCTGTAATCCCAGCTACTCGGGAGGCTGAGGCATGAGAATCGCTTGAATCTGGGAGGCAGAGGTTGCAGTGAGCCAAGATTGCACCACTGCACTCCAGCCTGGGCAACAGAGAAAGACTCTGTCTCAATAAATAAAATAAATAAATAAATAAAAGACCACAGGATGCCTCTGCTACTCTGGATCTGGTGCCTGGCGCTGGTGCAACACCACCTAACCTTATGCATCCTCTCCTGACTGACAATGCTCAGGCCCCAGAAAGATGCTTCTCCATATCTTATCCACTGTCTGTGAGAAACATTATAACTACATCTAATGGCTGAATGGGGCCTCTGCTAGGCACTATTTTGTCGTACAGAGAAGCTGTGGGCAGAAAAGGACTTAGATAAGAGAAAAGACAAGTTAACATCTCTGCCAGACCTTTCCTCTCAGATAGTGTGAATACAATCAATTCAAACATGATGAAGTACCATTTCCTAATAGTGCTGAGGGTACAATTTCTTCTTGTTTTTGTGTCCTATTCATAGTTCCAGAGGTTCTCATGAGTTAGCACAGTTCATCTCAGCTGTGTAGAAGCTGAGGAAAAGTTTGCAATATTAACCCTTTTCCCATTTAGGAAAAAAGAGCAGCTCCCTGCCAGTGCTCATTAAATTTTACAGAAACATGCTCTTTGAGGCTGAAGCAAATCTGACTGATTTTCTTTTTCTTTCTTTCTTTTTTTTTGGAAACAGAGTCTCGGTCTGTCGCCCAGGCTGCAGTGCAGTGGTGTGATCTCAGATCGTTGCAACCTCCACCTCCTAGGTTCAAGCAATTCTCCCACCTCAGCCTCTTGCATAGCTGGGATTACAGATGCCTGCCACCATGCCCGGCTAATTTTTGTATTTTTTAGTAGAGACTGGGTTTCACCATGTTAGCCAGGCTGGTCTCAAACTCCTGACCTCAGGTGATCCACCCAACTCGGCCTCCTAAAGTGCTGGGATTACAGACATGAGACACCGCGCCCAGCCACAAATCTGATTTTCAGTGTCAAAATAAAATATAAAAACTGCTCTTGGAGTTATTTCTCAACAGAACTGACATCAGAATCATCTGAATCATCAGAATTTCTATTTCGGAAAAATCAGATTCATCAAATTAATCTTTGCCCAACAACTGTTTGAGAATGATGTTAGTATCACGCGTAGGAATGCTACATTTTCTAGGATTTGATATGTTCATCTGTGGACAATTACTGTTTTGTAAATGGAAATCCTGATACTAAAAACACAATGCTGTAAATAGGATGATGGCTTTTGTTTCCAAAATGGATACACTAGAGTGATGCAAAAATAATAATAAAGTGAGATATTTTGCGACAAAGTTATCTTGGGGAAAATGCTGCAGCTGCAGTGAGCTTTCTCTGGGCAGAGAGGAAAAGGATTAAAGAAATCACATTACAAATTATGCTTAAATTTGTATCTATGTCTTGCCCTCAGACAAACCGGGATGCTTATTCTCTACATTGGCAATGAGGTGGTCTTTGAATGCTAGAATTATGAATTTTAATTTAATAAAATTTAAGTTTTCAAAAATAAAAAAACTATTTTAATCATTTTGATGTACAAATCTGATTAATTCTAATTTGTATGCTGCCTTTTGGCTTAACCGATACTTTTCAATATTTGAAAAGAATATTGTTTGGGAAAACATTTCTGACAAAATTAAATTTTTTACAGAAGCATATTTTTTATGAAAACATTGATATTTGTACTTTGAATATGACTTTTTTTTTTTTTTTTTTTTT